GGATACAAGGACTCATCTCCTACCATTCATAATGATTGGAGGCTACGATTCTTACACCTAGGCTAGAGTCTGTTAACATAGTACAGCTAAGAAACAGACAAAAAAACCAGCTGTAGAAATTATCCCAAAATAGCTAGAGTAGCTAACGGGTACTTCCCAAAAGGGAAAGTTCTTCAATTCTTCATTCTTCTCAGGAACAATCTGCAGGATTGTCATCTGCAGTTTCTTATTAAGCTCAGTGAGTAGCTTAATTCTCAACAGGGAGAGCAGGATTCGAGCGAGTGAAAATCCTCACTCATTTAGTTTGGCCTCTATTCTTGTAAGTTTTAATGTGTCCTCATGTATGATATGATTTTCCCCTCTTTCCCATTATGCAGGTATGCCGAGTCTGTTCTTGGTTTTCTTCATGAACCTATGGTAGATTATGTGAAGGAAGCATGCGACACGGAGGAGGAGCGTCATAGGGCTATGAAGAACATCTGCATATTGTTTGCAAGTCTTCAATCAGTAAGATCCTGACCTAACTAGTCACTTGTCTCTATAACAAGTTGGGTGTGTCTTTTGCTCTTTTTATTTATTTATTTATAATGCTACTAGTTTAGATGTTGGTACAACCATTCGTGATAAGGTAATAAACAGTGTGATTCCCAGTTTTCCTCCTCTTCTTTTCAAGATTTGGCACTTCAGTTGATTTTGTGAGGTCTGTGATTTGCATATTAACCACATACAAAAGCCTTTTCTCTGCTCTGGAAACATCTGGGTTCTTTGATCGAGTAAAACAAAGTGATTCTAATTCGATATATAGGGGGATTTTTAATTCCAGGAGTCAAAGCATGATGTGGTGGTCATCTATGTAATCAAGTGGATAAGCCGATGTTGAGATGCATGCCTTTACTTTTTGTTTGTTTGTAAACGTTGTAATATCACTTTGGTACTAAATTTTGCATCTATGATTGTTGTAGGGGGCTCCTCATAATCGCGAGGAATACGAGGCATCCATCCCTGAGAATCCTGACGACTGGACACAAGGGGTGAGTAAATAATAACCATGTATTTGATAAACGTTATTAGCTTGTTTGTAAATATTGTTGCAATCACCTTCTTTGGGTTCTTGACTGTTGTTGGTTGACTATGAGCCTGAGATGGTAACATATTCCCCATTTTGTCTGGTCTTGATTGTTGTTATTCTAATGTGATATGTGGAGGGATTGTTTATGGAGTCAAAAAATTGCTATAGTTTGTACTGAAACAGTTTTGTACTGGATTTTTGCAGATGTGGGAGTATATGTACCAAAAGGAACAGGAGGATATGAGGAATTTCACAGAGCAGGTGAGGAAGTAAAATTTGGTCAAATGTAACCCAAAGTGATTCATGTTTGATATATATATATATATATATATAGGTGGATTGATTGTTCCAAGAGTCAGATGAATATGGTGATCTATCTATATATGTAAAATCAAGTTGATATGTCAATGTTTGGGTTGGGATGCATGCTGCAATAGCTTCTTTGGAAATGTTGTAATTCACTTTTCATCTTTGATTGTTGTTGTATGACAGTTGGCTTTGCAGAAGCAGAAGCAGAAGCATGAGCAGGAGCGATTGGACAGAAAATTTCGAAGAATACGGAAAATTGCGAAGAAGAGGAGTAAAAGAGAAAGAGAGAGCTCAAGTGGCTTGGCTTGAATATGTCTAGTATTTTTCATGTTCTAAATTAATTAATTAATGCTGACTCGGAGAAAGGAATTGGTTTGTCCTTATTTTTGCATTCGTGGGTAATATTTGATAATAACCCTGTTTTTCAATACAACAATTTTTAGATGAGATTATCTTCTCGCATGTTCCTACTTTTAAGAATTCAACTTTTCCCTCAACTACTGTACAAGACTGGGGAATCTAAATAACAAAGTTAGAGATGCTTTGAGCATAAGGAAACTGTTGTTAACTATGATGAGTACTCGTAAAAATGCATCGGTAGGGGAGCGTTCCGCCTAGAGGGAAGCACCCGTGCAAGCGGCAGTGGACGAAGCGGAAGCGAGAATGTCGGCTTGAGTAACGCAAACATTGGTGAGAATCCAATGCCCCCCAGAAATTAGTTCTATACATATAACCAGCAATCAGAAAAATAAACACAATAACTAAATGATGATGAGCAATATCAGTGAGTCATAAACTTTGCGTAAGTTATTGGGTTTGAGGAGTTAAAAGATCAGTATATTATAGATTCATGTTTCAGCTCTCTAGAATTTGAACTCTAAAAGTCCTACTAGTTGAAAGATGCATCCATTTCGAATGCTTGATGGGTATTTATTTAAAGTCATTTTGTTTTGTATTTTCGAGGGATCGTTACATGAACAAATTATCAAGGAGCTTCACGGTAATAGATTAGGACATTTCGGTAGGGATAAAACACATCATAACCAAGGGCGGAACCAGGAATTTTTCAACGGGTGGGCTAGCTAAAGTTATTAGCTTTAAAATTTAGTGATTTTTTTTTTGGTACTTACAATTTCTATAGTCTTTCTAGAAATAAAAGTAAACATTAAATCATATAAACCAAGCTAGTTCATAGCTCCATAGACTAATTTTCAATAAGTTTTAACATAAACCAAATAGGATTTAACACTATAGTGGATTGAACATCTAAGATTTTTTACCTAGATTGACCTTAGGTTCTTTCATGCATTCATATTATAGATGAAAAGTTATTTTATGTAAAAATATTGATTAAGTATGAAAAATGGGTTTTCGAAATAATCATTTTCTCAAGATAATTTTTGGCGGCTTTTATTCCTCACACATCAAATAAGAAAACTTGATTTTATGGGATTTTAGTATGAAATATATATTGACTTAATGAGCCATCATTTTTAGCCTAAATCGTATTTGGCACTAAAACCGATTTTTCATATTTTGATTTGGTGAGAATTTGGTTTTCTAGTATTTTTATTTGAATCCAAATGGGGGGTACTTCCTTATTTACATTGTAAACTTAAGTAAATGGAGTAATATAAAAAATAAATAAAAGTAAAATGACAAAGACATTTACTTAAATGTTGAAAATGGAAATAAGGTAATCTGTGCAGCGCCACTGACTAGGCTAATATTGAAAATAAGTTAAATATATAAGTTTTATATTTTTTTTCTTAAAAAACCACACTGGGCTACAGCCCACTGTAGCCTTTGGTGTGGTTCCGCCCTTGATCATAACAAATAAAGATGTTGATAGACTAGTTCGGAAGTGTCAAATTTGTCAGTTTGGCAAAGGAAGTTGACAAAACAAGAAATTAAACCAAATCCTAGTAAAGATAGGAAAAAAAATTAATTGAATAATCTAATATAGCTAAAACTTAGCCCTTTTTGGCTAGGATGGATGCTCCTGCATCACAAGTGCATCCTGCCTTTTTCAGTACACAACATAAAACGATTCATTCATAATTTGTGATGCTAAACTAAATACAAATAAAACCTTAAACATTTGTCCTCCATATTATTCACTACCCAACAAATCATCACTACCCTTTGATTTTTCAATTAGGGAAGGAGACCTCGCATTGTGTCAAGTTTTGGAATGATTTGTTGATGCATAATAACCCAAAATATACTTTGGACCAAAAAGATTATAATCACCCAAAAATTAGAAAAGTTATGCACTATTTCCTAAAATATTTCTGTAAAACAATACTATGAAGAGCATGGATTCACCGTGATATATAAACTCGATCTGAGACAGAGAGGGGGTACCATGGCGATTGGTGATTGTAGTTCTTCCTCCTTTTCTTCTGGTAACAATCCTCAATTGAAAAATCCATGGGTTTTCGATTTTTACTTTGGAGATGCTTAGAACGAGAGAGAGAGAGAGAGGATGGGAGTTTCCTTATGTTGCAGAAGACGTTTAGAAGGAACCAACTCAGTGGCAATCTCCGTAAATTTCTTTAGTTTTAATACTAAACTTAAAACAATACGTGTGTTTGGGCTTGGGCCCTATTTTTAAAACTGTAGCGGTTTGTCGGTGGAGTGTTCTCTATATAAAAGGCTGACGCACGCATTCAAGAGGAAAACGCGCAGTCTTCTCCAACCAACCCTAAAAAAAAATTTTCTTCTCTTCTCTCCACCCATCGCTCGCTCGTTACAAGAAAGAAACACTGATTAGCAGGTCGCTGCAAGCCCTTATAACGATGCTCGACAGAACGGTGGAAAGACGCAATGCTATGTCTTGCCCAAGTGATACTGTATGCATGCGTTTCTCTTTCTCTCTCTTTCGTTTTTTTAGTATTTAACTTTCTTTTTAATCTAATATAAACTTAAAAGTATGATTGTTGTTGGTTTTTATTTATTTAAAAGTTCTATCCAATTTGCCATTCAGTTACCTCCCCTTATCTCAAATCTCAAGATAGAGAAGGAAACGGACGAAGCTCCTGGACGGGAGGAGGAGGAGGAGGAGGAGGGGGACGGGGGGGAGGAGGCAGTAGGGTGAGGACGGGG